ATGATGTACACTTTAGTTCACGTTTAGAATAAAAGGTTACCTTTACGTTTGATGATGCGCAATGTGTTCACGGTCTATTAATTTTTTTTTTTTTTATGCACCTTTCAGCAAAAAGCTATTCGATGTTTTGAGGTATATTTGTTTTGTAAGCATATGAATACCGTTTAAAATGTTATATTTTTTGTAAGATACGCTGTGGGGCTAGTTTAGATTATTTTTTGATGTTGTACAATGAGTTCATATACAATCATATTTAATTTTTGTTCTGTGCGATATGTATTACAATTTCTTGGATCTGTTGTTTTTTTTTATTTGAGGAAAATTAACCTTATAACCTGTCTTTATTTCACAAATGACGTTTGGACTAAAAGGTAAACATTACTTTTGATGATGTACAATGTGTTCACGATCTTTCTACATTTTTTTTTTTCTAATGCACCTTTCAGTAAAAGGCTGTACAATTATATGAGGTGTATTCGCTTTGTAAGCATATGTATACATTTTTAAATTTTATATTTTTTGTAAGATACGCTGTGTGGTTAGTTTAAATTTTTAAAGATGATGAACAATGTTTTCATATGCGATATTATTATTTTTTTTGTTCTGTACGATATGCACTACAGTGGCTTGGTTCTGTTATATTTGTATAGGTATTTGGAAATAAACCTTTTAACCTGTAATTATAACACAATTCCCGTTTGAAATAAAAGGTTAACTTTACTTTTGATGACGCGCAATGTGTTCACGATCTTTCTTTTTTTTTTTTTTTTTTTTTTTTATTCACCTTTTGGCAACAAGCTATACATTAGTATGAGGTATATTCTCTTTGTAAGCATATGTATACATTTTAAAATGTTATATTTTTTGTAAGATACGCTGTGTGGTTAGTTTAAATTTTTAAAGATGATGAACAATGTGTTCATATGCGATATTATTATTTTTTTTGTTCTGTACGATATGCACTACAGTGGCTTGGTTCTGTTTTTTTTTTATAGGTATTTGGAAAAGAAACCTTTTAACCTTTCATATTTTGACAGTTCACGTTTAGAATAAAAGGTTAACTTTACTTTTGATGATGCGCAATATGTTCGCGATCTTTCTATATTTTTTCTTTGTTACGCATACTTCAACAGAAAGGTATACTATGATATGAGGAATTTTGGCTTTGTAAGCATATGTATACATCTTAAAATGTTACGTTACGGGCCAGAAACGCTGTGCTTCTAGTTTAAATTTGTTGTCGATGATGAACAAGATGTTCATAAACAATCTTATTTAAATTTTGTTTTGTGCGATATGCACTTCAGTATATTTGTTCTGTTAGTTTATTAGAATTTAGAGAAATATTAAAGATTTAAAATGTTATTTTTTCACAATTCACGCTTCGAATATATGGTTAATTTTATTTTCGATGATGCGCAATGTGTTCATAATGTATTTATTTTTATTTTTTGTTGTGCTCGTTTAATAAGAATAGTACTCTTTTTTTTGAAGCATATACGCATTGTAATCAAATGAGATCCATTTTTTACCGTATTTTTTCTCTTTTTAAATGTTGTGAAGAAAGATTAACTTTTATAATTGATGATGCACGATGAGTTCATAAACAATCATAATTATTTATTTTTCTTCTGTGCGATATGCTGTACAGTTTTTATGCTTTATTAGTTGTTTATAATTATGAGCAAACGAAACCTTTTAACCTGTTATATGTTTGTTATTCACGCTTCGGATATAGGGTATTTTTAACTTTCGAAGTTTCGCAATGTGTTCATAATGTATCTATTTTATTTTTTGTTGTGCGCGTTTTATGGATAATAATACTCTTTGTTTTGAAGCATATTCACATTGTACGCAAATGATACCATTTTAAACCGTTTTAGTTTGCATGAACACAGTGCGTATCATCAAAAATAAAAATGTACTTTCGGCGCATAGCGCTTATGTTGAAAAATAGATCTTTGAAATTTATTTTTTCCTTAGTGCGATAGAAAAAAAAAATTAACCTTAGCGCATATCGCGCTAAGTCAAAAATTAATATAGATAGACTACAAACATAGTGCGCAATATGAAAAAAAAATAAATTTATTTTCAGCGCACAACAAGAATTAGACATAATTACAGACACAACATAGAATAGTTAGAAATTCCCCTCTTGCGCACTATGCGAATAAACTAACAATACAAAAAAGTACCTAATGTGCATGGTGCACTTGATGAAAAATAAACATTTACCTTAAGAGCACAGCAAACACGACACACAGCGCCTTTGGCACTTCTTTAAATTTATAGAAGTACATAAGGCGTCCAAAAAAAAAATAGATAACGTAAAAGTTCGGAATCATAACGAAAATTATTGTGGTTTTACATAAACAAAAGTAGTTAAAAGAATTTTAGACTGCGGAAATTCGGTAAATTTCGTTGTACAAACGACGGGTTATTTAATGAAATCGACAAGTAAGAGAAAAAAAAAAAAAAAATAAAAAAATAATTTTTCAATATGAAAACAAATGTTGCGAAAAACGCAAAAGAATCGTAGATGATGACGGTTAAAGCTCGGTAGGGTGGCGGTGTTCTTGGTGTGCGGGCGGCCGGAAATTCAATCGACAGTTTGAGGTGAAAAAAACCAAACGCTCCCCGCTGGCTCGTATGCCGTTGGATAAAACACACCGCGCGAATCTCTCGACCGCGTCACGCGGCACAACGATCGTTTTAGCGTTATTTTTCGTGACCGACGATACCGCCGTCGCGAAATGCGACATCCCGGCGGGCCGTAAAACGTATCGTACGGTTTCGCGCGGAAGTGGCGAGGTCGGTTGTTTGGCGATAAAACGATACATAGTTATACGCGGGGTTTGACGTAACGTACGCAATATATCATAGCGGCGCTGTACGCCCGGCTGACGGCGGCTGTCGGTGGCGGCGGCGGTGGCGGCGGCGGCGGCGGCGGGAAATCAATACTACTACGCCGCGCGGCTATACGCCCCGCGCGCGTTCATATACCGTACGGTGGCGGGCGGCCGTTTGGTGTCGACGGCGCGCACACTGAACTTGTGCTCAATACGCGGAGAACAGTACGCCGGTGTGCCGGGCGACGATATGACTCTCGCGGTGGCGTCCGCGTGCTCAACCGGTGCAAGGCGACGCGGACGACGACCGCGACCGCGACCGCGACGGCCGCGCAATAACCGCGCGTTGTTATTATTGTTGTTGTCACGAGTTTGGTCACGGTCCAATAACGATTAAAAACCGCGAGCCGTCCCCATCGGAGTTACAATGCCCGCCAAGTATTATTCCGTATACAGTCACCGGTTCACCGTCACCAAGTAAGTGATGCCGCGCTCGACCGCGGCAACGTTATAAAATATTATGAGTATTTCGTTTGTTACGCGAGGGCCGCCCGTGCGTTCCATGTCCGGCCGCGCCGGGCATACCCGCGAGCGCGATCAGACCACCGACTTTGTGGGGCCGGAATCGTAGACTCGCCACAGACCCGGAGGTAACAGCAGCGGATATTGGGTGGTGGGAACGATTGGCGGATTGCCCCCTTAACCCCTTTGGGTTTTCGTCATCTATGTTTATAATTATTACTTACAGCTTAATATACTTATAAGCATACACGGGACGTAGTGAAGGGAAATTGAATCGTACAATTTTGATAACATTTTTTTTCAGATTCTGGGTGTAGCGAAGAATGTATTGATTTTACAAAGATGTTAATTTTTTTTTTTTTTTTGTATACTGCGTACACAAATCTACCAGCAATTTTGCTCCGATTTACAACGATGGCACTTTTTATGAGAGGAAATCTGCCTGGGATACTTTAGGGAGGTCATTTTTGGGTTTTCTTAGGAGTTTTCCCAATAGAGGAAATGAGGTCAATGAGGAACATAGACACAATATTAAACAAATGTTATTAAAGAAAATATATAATGCATAATATATAATTATTTTATCATAATTTAACATACTATGTCAAAACAACACCATCCGTACCCGAACCCTACTCACAATCGTTTTTCGTTAGCAATGTTAATCGTTGCGTACAGATATAGGTACGTTAAATCTCCCCTCTATATACCTTCCATACCTATGTGCGAATTATGTCCGTCTTTTTTTTTTCGTTATTATCAATTAAAATGATAAGAGGTCACGACCGTGTATTGTAATCGTAAATTGAACAGTTTTTTTTTTTATTTATGATTGTAATCAGCGATCATTGGACTATTGGTGTATTATATAGAATTAAATGTTAACAACAGACTGCAGCTGCTATAATTGTGTTGAAGCACAATAGCCAATCATAATAGTTTAATGCTGCAATTTCAGTTTATAAACTGGTGTAGTTTTTCACATCAGACCCGTGCGCAATGGGATTAACCCCCCCCCCCCTCCCACGTTTTCGAAAAATATAATTTTGTTTTTCATTTTGGATCGATTATATTAAATATTTTATAATATCTTATTCGTACCTGTCTGTATAATTTTGCATAACGTCTCAAATGATACACGACCACTATTCAGTATATCGTCACGTTCGTTATCAACAAATGTCAATAGAATTTATGTCAAGAACATACGCGATAATAATATGGATACAAAACACGAGTAGTGCACGGATATAATATTAAAAGTGGTTTGTAATCATAAAAAAATAACGATTGCGGGCTCAGAGTGAAACGTTAGCTGCTGTTACACTAACAAATTGTTAGCACTAACATACGAAAGTTTTTCAAAAAACCACAGCTAGAAAATGATAGCGTAAAAAATTAGGAAAACAGTTCGATTACCCGTGTTACGTATCAATAAACCTACAATGGATAAACAACTTTATTGTACCGATAATGGCGCATAGTGTACTGCTCAGAGGTGAAGATCCTGGCAACTATTAGTGGGTGGCTTAAATATTTTGTAGCATATAAAGCTGTGGGGACTATGCCCCCATGCCCTCACACAATTTTCCAACACTACAATGTGTAACAAAAATACTGCATACTTACCTACTAATAATATATTATAAAATACGAAATACATTCATTTTATAAAAATGAATATTCAAAATACAAAAAACATAATTCGACCAATATTCTAAAAATAAAACCGTTTTTAAGTCAGTAATATTATTTTTATCACTACACTCAATTCTTCGATTTGGTCAGCCACGACAGATTAGAAAGTCTATAGAGCAAGTTATTTATGCAAATAAATACATGGATTAATTTAGATTAAATTATTTCTGAGATTATGTTTTAAAACGTAAAATATTATTTAATAATCAGTAGGTAATCACTATAGGTATCAATTTTGTAAAATATATGTTATGTTCAAAAAGAGTATACATGTATACATATAATTATTTTTAAAAACAGATACATATTATCTTAGGAAGCTTAAAATACATTTGATGGAACTAAGCCCCCAAACCCCCCCCCCCCCTCAAAAAATAAAAGTCATTTTTGTAACAGCCAAACACTTTATCAAACCCATTACGATGTTCGATAAATAATTATTGGTCATTTATGTAACCGGCACACAGTAATCTGAGAACGAAATTTAGGTGGCAAAAATAGGACATTAAAAATGTTCAAAAAATGTATTTTTTTTTTCTAGGATCTCATTAGTAGATAATTACTAGTGTAAATATAAAATTTCAGTTTCATAATATTTTTTAACTGGAGTTATAGCTAAATGAACTAGATAAATTTGGTTTTTCTGTTCTTTTAAAAATAAAAATGCCGATAATTCATTAATTTTTTTGGCTATTTGAAATGTTTAAAATGAAAAAAAAATGAATTACCGAAAAATCGAACCTTATTTGTGTTTTCTTTTCCACAGACTGCAGTACAAATTTTCTCAAGTTTATCTAATAACCAATATATGCATTTTATAAAGGAAGTTCTCAGCTACAAGTATATACAATTTTTTATTGCGTTGCTTTAGACAAATCATATTGTCATAAAAATATAGTGTTTTTGAAATTTTAAATTTTGTATAAACATTTAATTGATTTAATTGTCTGTATACAATTTAATAACACAATATGTACAATTTTTATTTACAAGTGTAAGACTTTTGAGGGGCTAATCATTAAATAAAGTTATATTGGGAAATCCAGTATTTAATTTAAACAGATACGATGATATTTATCAGTAAGATTACGATTAGACATATTATTATGCCTTGCGGTGTTATAAATACACTTATGATGTGCTATGTGCATTCATTTCTACGAGTAACTTTTGAAGTTTCATAGAGATTAGTATTACGTTTTTGTATTGAAACGAAGCAAAATAATTAAATACATATACGTTACCGTTAAGGATTTAAATTAAATAAACAATTTTCAAATTATAATTTTCTTCCAGGCTCTGATAATGTACACAATTTTCTTTCTAAGGATTCGAGCCTGGTTATCAACTCTTTAAAATAGGCCAGAAATAAGAATTATAAAAATATTTGAGAACATTATACACGAAAAAGCTGTAGACAAAACACCAATCTTTTAAATATGTTATTAGTTTCATCTAATCCATATATTTCGTCGCTGAGAAATTCATCAAAAAAAAAAATATATATATAAGTATTTAACAAAAACTAATATTTAATAAAATATTTGTTTAATTTTCAAAAATATTAAAAAAAAAAAAACATTTTTGCAAATGCAACGGGACGCAATAAAAAATTATATATTCTTGTAGCTAAGAACTTCCTTTATAAAATGCATACATTTGGTATAGGGTATAACTTAAGAAAATTTTTACTGCAGTTTAATTTCACGATTTATTTTTTAAAAACACGGACGACGTTTTCTACCAGAAAAAATCATTTAAGTGAAAAATTACAAGATACTTTTTTTTTTTGTCTTTTCGGTTTACTTTCTTACGGTATCATCGCCAAAACTTTTGAGATTTTAAGGAATTTTAATTTTTGAGAGTTTTTTTGCGGTAATTCGGTTATAAATACACGCAAATACTTGAAACTCGGTTATAATACTTATATTAAACTTACCTAGACGTGGTACGATTTTCAAAATCATCGGACGACTTTTTAATTTTTTTACAATGGTACTTTTTTTTATATACTGTAGACCACTTTTATCCTAGAGAACTTGCTCTGACGTATAAGTGTAGCACTTTTTCTGAAATTCAATTTCATCTACTTGGTAAATACATAGGTCATTTTTTGATTTTCGAAACAATATTTAAAATAAAAAAGATTAACCGGGAAAAAATTACGATTTTTTCACGATTTCGTTATTTTAAATAACTACCTACCACGTTTTCTAGCACAAATATAACTCCAATTGAAAAACGACTAGAGACCTTTGTTGTTGAATTATTAATCGTGTGTTTGATGATACAGATTATTTTTTTTTGATTTTTGAATTAATTTTCATAATAATCGGGGAAAAAACGTAGGAATATTAGGTTGAAAAAATACGACATTCCAAATGATGTATTACCGAACTGCACTCAGAAGCGTCTTTTGTCAGCAATGGTTTATCGTTGCTTACAGATATACATAAAATTCCTGTCTATATCTTATCTTCTTAACTTCCCACCTATATAACCTAGGGCAGCTTCTTTTTTTTATGAAAGCCTCCCGACCATAAGCGAGCGCACAGGATATGCCAGGTGTGCCTGGGCACTACCCAAAAATTGTGTGTATACATTTGTTTTTTTTTGTTTTTTGCTATTATGTTGACATATGACAATTGCAGAAGGTATAAGTTTTATATTTTGTACAATTACCATCACTTTATTTTGCCTTATTTTAAAACTATTAGTTCATACATTTCGACCTCACTGCCAATTTCGTTCATATCATTTACGACTGTATAACTGTTATTTATTTATAGACTATAATTATCAATTGATTATTACAAAGAAATTTTTACTTTTAATTTTTTTAGGAGTATGATATTTAATTAGATAGTTCAGTAATTGATACAATTATGAAAACTAATTTAAAGACAGTGAATAGAATTAATTATTATTTTGTATTATTTATTATTGAAAGGTAATCAAAGTTGATTGGGGAGGTGGATTCACCTAATACATTAATTTTTCTCGGGTACGATCTGAACTTAAAGTCTGCGCACGCCTATGCTCCTGGCTCCTTTCAAGAAATCCAGCGCACAAGCCTGTTTTGGACGTTTACAATTAAATTTTAATTATACCCGCACATCGGTGGGTGTTATCAATTTTGTTTACAGTTATTATTGATCAACGGTTCTTATTAATTGTATTGTTGTTGTTATTTAGATGTTTAGTATGCATTGTATCTTTGTTCGTGGTGTTGATTTGTTTGTGGTATTTAATATTTAGAATATTATTTTTGTAGTTAAATTTAAAGGAACTGAAAATACTGTACATTATTAATTGTAAATAGATAATAAAGGCTTTTGAATTATATAAATCCTTAACAGGGGGGTTAACCTCCTCCCAATATTTAAAAGGGATTTTTTCGGTTCATTAAGTGGCGCCGATTATTAACTAGGCTGCCGTTGTGGATAAAGTCTAGTCACGTCTCAGTCAGTATACTAGTCAAAATAAGCATTTTCATAAAACATCACACAGTAAGAGTCCAGCTGAAAATGTTCAAATAGAGTGTTAAAAAAAACGTCGAAAAATAACAATGTAAGGCGTTATAAATATTTGTAAAAATTAAAACCAACAAAATTTGCATATTTTCGTTCAAATTATTGTGACTAGATTTTCAAAACAAATAAATAGAGGGTATAAACTATATAAACCCTATTACCTCTGTGGATTTGAAAATCGCAACCCCGCAGAACTAAGATATATCCGCCACTGGGGATGGGGGGGGAGACAATGCTTCAATAATCCCCTTTATATGACACCTATATACTCGTATAATGAACGTCTATACACATATCATTTACGATTTTTTGTATATCATAATATTCTTTATTTAGTTCGTTTTTATTTTTTATACGCACATAATGCAGTGAAATATTATTTTATCCGTGTATTTTGTAAGCAGAACCAAATACAGATTGTCTACACAGACACTGCATTATGTGCGTATAAAAAATAAAAACGAACTAAATGTGTAGGCAATCTGTATTTGGTTCTGCTTACAAAATACACGGATAAAATAATATTTAGTTGATACTACAAAATTGATTATTGGGCAACTTCGGAGACGCAAAAAACCTCCTACCATCCCCTAGTCGGGCCTATATGAGTATATCCTGTGACATTGTGTGGAACGCGACTAACCGATATTATAATGAATTGTACGGGGTATACGGGGTTAGACACGGCTGAAATAATTCCGAATCGATTCATCCGGGGGAAAAACGATAAAAAAAACAACAATCGGGTAATGAGTATTGGGTATACCTATAATATTAAGTTATACTGCCCACGGTCTCGTGCGGAGGCGAGGTAACACCGAACAATAATAATATTACGCGACACATATCCGTTGTTTACATTCAATAATCAAAATATCAAACCGTTCCTAATAAAATAAAATATACTATTATATTAGTATCAGTAGCGTCATTTAAATATTTTAGAAAAGGGAGCAAAATATTTGACCGGTCCATAATAAAAAAGAAAAACCCACTCATTAATTCATCCGTCACGATTAATACATTTTTATCTTAATACAAATATCCTTAGTACATCATTTTTTACTATTATAGGCATGAATAACCCATTTTTTCGAGGGACAACAATGATTAAATAATAAATATATATTATGTAGAGAAATACTTAAATATATTATCTATTAGCTACTATATGAAGATTTAATTTGAGTTGAATTTGCCCTTAATTTATGTTCTATTTGCGCCAATATGTATGGGTTATACATGTATTCATAAACAAATTTAAATATAACCATATAAACATGGACATATCTGTACAATCAAAGAATAAATTAAATAAGAATAAACATTCTCCAAAAATGTACATGGATTCTTATGAGAATCCGGAAATTTCAGCTTAAGTGCAATTAACGTTAACAAAAAGTACAATAAAAAAAATATTGTATACAATTATCATACTTATCACAAATAAATCTTAAAAAAATAACTCTGTAGCTCAGAGTGGCTGTACGGAACACATATATCATGAATTATGTTTGCAGACTTGTGATCCAAAACTAACCCATACCCTGCCCAATAGAGGCTCGCTGATGACTCAGTGGGAGGGGGACAAATATATATAATTATATAATATAAGTATAGGTACTAGTTAATAATTATCTATGCGTAAGTCTTATGCATATAATATAGTAAAACTTATTATTATTTGCATAAGTATAGACAAATAAAGGGTGTTTGAACATCAAAACACCCTCTCCCCCTCGCTACGCCGTTAGACTTAGTGTATATTATATAAAACGAGCAGCGTTGAAAAAAAAAAAAAAAAAAAAACCAAAAATTTATCGGATTTTTCGATACATAATATAATATTGCTAAAAAGTAAAAACGCGTTCACGTTTATATGTTTCGTGTGACGTACGGGAAAACGCTATAAATAAACCGCATTAAAATAATTCTAAAACGGATTTAATATAATGCGTGCGTACGAGCACTACAATAATATTAGCGCGATTCGGCTGCGGACAAGCGCCGATATCCGTTTCGTCTGGTCGTTGAATTGCGTAGTGCGAACGGAAAACGGATCGCGGGCGTGTGACGGTTACGTGTCGTTCTTTTTTTTTCTCTTTTTTTTTTTTTATCGTTTCGTTATCGTTATCGCGTTATTACCGTACGCAACTTTTCTGATAATAATAACATTTTATACTCGTACGTCATTTCCACGTTCGTTCGTTTTGGCACCGGAATCACGTTGAACGTTGTATTTCGTTCGCCAATTTCGTAACGACAATATTATTATTATTGCATATTGTTGGAAATATTTGAAACGCTGCCGAAAGCAAACTCAATCCGTCGACGAATTCGACAACATGTAAGTTATCATATACTATATAGATATATAGTATATAATGTTCTTTCGTATTGAGTTTTCGACAGAAAAAGAAATGAATATCCGTTTGAATACCCGGTGGCGTAGCGAGGGGTTGAGTATTGGTGGTGTAGCAACACCCCCGTCCTATAGACTGTATTTATGTTTATACTATATGTATATAATAAAATTGTGCAAGATATAATACGTAAACGTTACTATATTACTATGTAAATTAATTAACGAAGTTCGTTTTTTTATAAGAATTTTAATATCAAATTTTGACGAAAATCATAAATTGCCTTTCAAAGCATGTACAACTAAACTCCGCTCAGAATCGTTTTTTGTTTGCAATGATTAATCTTCGTGTACAGATATACATTAAATTCCTCTCTATATCCTACCTTCCTAACTTCCCATCTACTACAGTGCCCACCCATCTTATGAAGTATGCCCGTCTGTTTTCAATTAATAGGTTTTGTTACTTTTCATAACATCTCCCTTTGGAAATTTCGGGCTATGTACCTACCTAACTCCTACTATGGATTCAAGCTTCGAAAGTAATAGTTATGGTAGAACCGTTATGCGTATAGGTACACGTATAATAAAACAATAATTTAATATTCAATTTTGCATTAGTATTTTTTTTTTTTATTTATATTTTTTATCTTGTGAAATATTTTCGAACTTTTTACGTGAACTATTGATTTTTTGTTTCTTGGGAATTATCTTTAAACGATTACCTATTTCGCCCAATTATTGTGAACGGTGAAATTCAAAACACTAGGTTAATTTAGTTTTGGTAAAGCAATATCCAGGGGAAGCAATGGTAATACAGTTCCCCCAATTCTGGTGAAGTTTATTAGAATAATAAAAGGTAAAACAATATTGTACAAACAAATCTATCTCTGCTGTCTGTAGTTAAATTGGGGAAAAAAATTAACAGCGCATCACACATATTAATAAAAAAAGGACGAACATACTTCGCACTTGGATACAGGCCGTGCAGCTATTATTTTAGGTGGGAAGTTGGGAAGATAGGATACAGATGGAAATTTAATGTATATCTGTAAGCAATAATAACCCATTGCTAACGAAAAAGTGATTCTGAGCGGAGTTCAGTTGATAGTATTACTTTGTCAACAATATATTGTATACCTGAGTCATATTATGGTAAAATGATTACAGCAATGTACGTTTTCATGTCAACAATGATTGTTTAAAAAAATATCATAATAATAAAAAAAAATAATTAAAAACAATTGTCAATGACAAACTTATTTTTAATCTTTCAATCTTTTTTAACCTAAAGAACCAGGTTTTTCTCATTATCTCTAATATTAATTAGAATCTCAAAAAATCACCTCTTTAAAGTAACACCCAGAGAATATTTCCTTCCAGAAAATGTGCTACACTTGATAATCGGAGTAAGCTTCCTGATAGAAAAAGTGTTCATATAAAAAAAAATAAACATCTTTGTAAAACCATACACGCATTCTTTGCAAAACTCAGAATCTAAAAATTAGTCCAAATGCTTTATTTTTAATTTAAAAATTAATATAATCGGAGACGTGTAAAATATTTATTAATTTATAATGTGAATAATAATTGTATTGATGTGCGAATGCTTAATATAATTTCTACTATTTTTAGGTTAGGTTATATCCATTTTACTTTGCGGCTATGATTATTTCTAGTAGTTCGAATAGTTTGTAAGTAATAATAAAACAAAAATGAAGAGTTGATACTGCTGATGGGGTTTGCTACCGTTGTGTGTGGGATGTTGAAAAGGTAAAATACATAAAGTTCTTTAATTTATATCCGTAAGCAACGATAAACCATTACTAATGAAAAACTATTCTGAGTGAAGTTCGTTTATATTGTATGATTAATGAGGCCGTAATATTTACAATTTTCTACAAAATTTGATATTAAAATAATTAAAAAATAATAATAATTACTACATTGCATTACATACAGTCTTTTATTTTACCACTAAATACATCTTATTGAAATTCCTGTTAACAAGTTGATTGCCATGGCCATTTATATATACATGCTAAAATTTTCAAGTGATAATTATTATATGAGTCACACTTGATTTGTAGGTTTTTTTTCTGTGACTTATATGTACGTAACATTTCGTATTTTTATCGTGTACCACTGGTGGGTCATTATTTTTCGTATCAATTCTTTATCAGCAAAATTGTATAAATATTTTTACAGTGATAAAAACATAAAAACAGAATTTAAAAAATCATTAACTATCTCAAAAAAATGTTGACAGACATCGTGTGACCCTCATGTCTTATGACAGTCAACTTGTTAAATTTTCAAGCATTTTTGTCTGACTAGCAATTTTATTCACGAAGTACTTACCAAATATAAACTGTGTAAAACCTCACAAAATTAAAATGTCTATAAATAGCTCAAAAATGACCTAAATATTTTGAACATTTTATTACGTCTAGAAAAGGCAAACATAAAATATATACACAAATTTCAAATCGCTGTTTTTTTTTTTTTTTTTTAGTTTTACTCAATTATTGATAAACTTACACAGAAAATTTAAAAAAAGACTTTCTTACTCATCAGCTACATTAAAAATTCAACAACAATAATATTCTGTTGTTTTTTTATTGGGCAATATTTCTAGTAAAAAATAAAGCATACAAATTTAAAATAATGTAATTTTAACGACGTAAATTTATTACTTTTTTTTATTATTCCCAATTATTAGGAAAATTACATGAAATATGAAAAAATAAATTTTTTCGTAAACAACCCGAAATTCTACACGAAAGACCTCTTGTCATTTTTTGATTTAAGCAAGATTTCTAGTAGAAAACATAGTTACAAAAATGTAAAACCATGAAATCATTACGTCGTAAATATTTGTCCGTTTATCTCTACGTTTTTCCTACGTTTTTTCTCGGTTTTACCCAATTATTATAAAAAACCACATAGAAAATCAAAAAAGGACCTTCCGTAATGTAACAAATAAATAAAGTTTTCTTTCAGAAAAGATACTACACTTCATATATCGGAGCATGATTTCTGGTAGAAATTTTTGTACACTGTTTTAAAAAAAATATACATAATTTTTAAACTAATACATTCCTAGCTTCACTCAGAATTTAACATTCTAAATAATAAAATCATACTCCGTAAATTTGTTCATTTTCACTTTACGTCTTTTTTTCTCAACTATTATAAAAACTTTTTAGAAAATCAAAAAATGACTTAATTCTATAGCAACAAATTTCTTCAACTAAGAAAGATAAGAACGAATAAAATGTAACTTGAAGCATCAACTGTTTAGAGCATTTTTTGTTATTTATAAACGTGATTACAATATAGTAATCGTATTTATTATCATAAAATATAAAATGTATTTAGTACAACGAATTTAAATTTAAAATCACATTTAAAACACCTCAGTGACAATAACTAAAGTGCTTCTCCGAACTTCGAACACTTAAACTAATGAGGAAAGATAATTTTATCTTAAATAAGTAGGGGAATAAGTAGTTCAGTCACCCCCACTTTAACCACAGACTGTTCTCCATATCCGAAGCAGTGGGCGCGGGGCTATCACTACATCATTCTCACCCCCCCCCCCCCATTATGACCCTGATTCTGAGTGAAGTGCAGTTATATTTTGAAAAACTACAACCTCTACGATATTCGTCAAAATTTAATCTTAAAACTCTTAAAATACAACTACATTTCACTTAATTTTAAACCACTAAATACTATTTATAATATATCTCGTGTTTAAATTATCAAGTATTTCTTTTTAGTCAAACAATTTTATCCACATATTTCTTACATAAAAAGTAAAAACATGTCTATAAATAGCTCGAAAATTGTCAAAGTGTTTTACCTAGAAAAGACTATCATAAAAATTCTGTACAAATTTAAGCTCTTTACGATAACAATTTTAAACCAATTTACAACAAATATACCAAAATTTAAAAAAACGAAACCATTAATGCTATAATATTTCTCCTACTTGGTATGTTTTTTTTTTTAAAGTTTTTCCGAATTAATATGAAAACTGGTTGGAAAATCAATACACAACTAACTTACACACTAACTAGATCTAAATTGCAATAAAAAAGGTCTGTTAAATACCTAGAGTAACAGTATTGTTTTTATTTGATTTTATTAGGACTAATTGACATTAATTCCTCAACAAAACAAATTTCTACATCTCATGGATTCGAAAATAATAGTCCAATAGTATATTTTAATATTTTATTCTATTTTCTACACCTAAAGAATCGTTTTTATATTCGTTGACCAATTTTAAGCTTTGACCTAATCTTAACTAGACGAAACCAAGATTGCGATAATTGAAACCTACGACAAAATTAATAATACAATCTAAAATTGGTGTCTAAAGTAATGTTCTTGCTGAAAACGATTATCACAGAATGGCTTAAAAGCGGAAAAGTTAATTTTGGTCGAAAATGGTTCCTTTTCTATACCGGCATTGTGCCAACTGGTACCAGAACAAGTGCAATTTTCCAATCAACAACCACAATCCGGTCACGTGCTGCCCGCCCAGGTGTCCACTGCCGTAAAGGTCTCGTCGTCCATCATCCCCAAACCCAAATTGGTTGTGTATTTTCCTGTTTTTTATTTTTAAGTAGTTGTAAGTGACTCACCTTGAGGCAGTTAGCGAACTCCCCCGTGCTACGGGATAGTAAAGTTATGTTCTCTTCTTCGCCCTCGTCCCCGGCTATCAAACCGCATCGCCACTGTCGTTGCTGCAATTATGGTCAGTGTGGTTGTTGCCAGACTTGTATTTAAACACCTTGGACGCCCAGTGGGTATGAGAAGTAGCCGAGTATGTTAGAATGCCTACGCCTTGATAGTATGGCGCAAGGTTTATAAGTTGCCTACTCGCTAAGCAGAAATGTAAAGGTGCTCGGTCCTTTCGAACCAATCTGGTCCTTTGACCGTAAAACATTTCTTACTATAACACAATCTTTATTGATATTATCTACCTACAATTTAACTGTGGCCATAGATATATATATATATATCGATAGCCATAATGTGGTTTGTCTTTTCAACAATGCGCTCTATTTGTATTCAATATAACTAATATTCTAACTAAATATAGTTCTAATAAATTATTTTTCGACAAATTTATTTTCGTAGACAATATTTTCGGACAAAAAACTTTTCCAGTCAAATATTTTTCAAGCATTTTATTTTCGTCTATTATAGTTTGGTATAAATTATTTTTATTATTATTTTTCGACTAAAATACTTTTCTAATCAAATTTTTTTCTGTTCGAATAATTTTTGTAAGTATATTTTCTACCGAATTATTTCCAACGAATTATTTTCGAACAAAATATAGGTCAACGGTTAAATGAGTGCTCTTAGTGTCTCCAGCTGATGGTCCTACTTTAGTAGCGCGCTCTAGTGACAAAATTTGAATCTGAAAATAGACCGTGATTAAATCGGATAGTACACTAGAGCGCGCCACCAAAGTGGGATGTTCGGCCGGGGACATAAAGGTCCGGCCGCACACCTAAAGAGTAAAACTGTATTAGTCATTGATAGTCATTTCCGTTTTAGTCAACTAAAAACAATTTGGTTTTGTGTAGCGCACATTACCTAGACAAAATTCAGTAGTCAAAATGCCATCTGATGAAGATGTTGCAATTTGCATGTGGTACACATTACAAAATTTAGAAGGAAATACTACTGCGTAACAGAGTTGTAAACATTTATTAATAACTATAAAATATAAAAATATGTATGAAATTTTATTATTATCTCTTATTTACAGTTATAATTAAAATTTTAAATATGCCATCAACATTCATTTCTTTGCTTATTTCTTCCCATAACCTATCTTGAACAATTTTATTGCTATGCTCCTTGTTATTAAAATCATAAAGAGATGGTCTAACTTCCACTAAACTAATATTTCTCCATCACAAGTCGTATTCGATCGTATTCGAAATAAATACGACGTACGAAATACGAAAAATACAAGAAATGTTTAGTTATGACTATCGAAAAATGTGGACACTTCAGACAGTATTAGTCATGACTGATGGTGTTTAAAACAAAAATGTTTTCGTTTTATTTTTGTCTGATGAATATGCGTATGCAACGGAATTCCATATGTTCTATTTTTAATAAAACTATGTTAGGCTGACTAACGCTGCTTAAAGTAGTTTTGCTCTTTTGGTGTACGGCTGGCTTTAGAGCACACATTTTACTACAGTCTTATACACGATATACACGATAATTGTTGATTATCTTTAAAGGAGTTTTACGAGACAGAATAGAAGAAAGGATACTTTGGGTCTATTGCCAGTTGTACGTGATTTGAAGAACGAGGATGAACATAGTGAAAGCGAACATGTCAACAACCAAATGAGGAAGGACGATTCGATTTGCGACACTCTGTCGAGTAAGCCGATTCAGATGACTGTGGATTTCAATGATATAACTTTTTTAATAACTATATTATCTCATTTTTTATAGGTCCATTGTTTCGTATCATCATTTGTGTTGTCATCGTAGTGGTTATTTTAATATATAAGTCAGATTATTTTCATTATTTTCATTCAAAAAACGAAAAATCTTCCAGATTGATTATAAAGACATCGTGGAACTATTCAAAAATGTTATACGGTCAGTGAATACGTGTATTTATTAATATAAAATTAAATATTAATTCAACTGGTGTAAAATTGGTATTTCTAAGTGTTTTTTTTCTTTCTTTTTTTTATTTTTATTGTTATTATTACTGAATGATCCCCATTGGATTTATTAAATTCCCTGTAGATATACTAAGTTATAATGTTGTATGTTCATAAAAATGTAGAAAAGGATTTATATAATAGGTAATAAATACCTAAAAAGTTAGGTAGGATACCTAAAAAAATGTTATAAAATTAGAATTGTCTTTGATTGGCTTTAATTTTCTAACTTTAATTTCAGAAGATGACGAAGGAAAACCACAAATTGAAGTAATTGAAATCTTACCCAATTGTGGATTACAGACCATTTGTTCCGAAAACGCTTTTCCCGTTCATATATACACTGGTAAAAACAAGACAGACTTCCCGAAGTTGTGTATCATGGGCAAATAGTATGTATTTCTTAAAAAAGTTTTACCTAAAATTTAAAAACATATAATATTTAATAAAATAAACTATAACATTTTTAAAATCACACATTTTTGTTTTAAATTTCATCGTCAAAATAAATTTAATATTTGGTTTTAAAATATAACTATAGATACCTTAGATATACTACTCATCAAATTAAATTTTATATTTTGATTAGATTTTAACCACTTAGATATAAGTAGCCTAAGCACTTCAACTATGCACCACCAAATAGTTTTCAGAGCTCATTGTTTGAAGTTATTTTAACAGTTAATACATTCGTTTTTTTATACATGTTGTCAGTGGTATAAGGATATTTCGCCCAATTGTTTCCATAAGTATATAGATAAAATTAATTATTCCAACACATACCTATAAGTACTGCGAAGAATGTGGTATCCAATATATAAACTCAAAAATCCTCAACAAAGTAACAAAACCAGCTTTTTCCTTCAATAAACAAATCAAAATTGTATACCATCGCGTAAAAAAATATATTAATAATATATTATTAGTATCATTCTAAATTTATATTATGTATTATATTCTGTTTTAATTTTTTTTTTTTTTTTTTACAGCGTTATGTCTTTCAATCGCACACTAGGTGGACGTGGTATCAATGTAGCTGTGATAGAACCCAAAACATATACTATATTAGCTGTTAATAATTTTGATACGTATGAATATAATAGTTCAAATTTGGACGTTTGGCTTCAAAACATGTTTAAAATTGGACACATAATTATATTTTTCACGTTTGACGAGGCGTCCAAAAAATTAACTAAAAACACAAGAAATATGTTATACAAAATGGGTAAATAATATCTATGTATCTATGATAATATAAGATTTTAACGATAAAATACGTACACGTCGTATAGGTACAGGTATTATAGTAGTTAAAAAAACCGGATATGCACCATGGACGAACAATTGTAGTTTGCTAATTCAGAAGGTTTAATACACAGGAACAGGGTAGCTAAGTTAATATTTATACGAAATAATGAGTCTTTGAAAACGAAAAACGATTCTGAGCAAAGTCGGTTATAACATGGTTTGATACAATTAAATTGATAATAGTAACAACTTGTTACTATACAGAGTGTCCCACCAGGATTCGACAAATGCAATAACTTTTGTTCTATTCAATATTTTTGATATAATTTTGTTATAAATAATTAATATGCTTCAGCGCTATAGTTTGTATATGAACATTTTTTTTTTTTGGATGGACTTAAAATAAAAAATGTACAATTTTACTATACCTTTTTTTAAAAAAAATCAAATTAACCATTTGGTAAAATTAATTTTTAGAACATTTTTGGTGGTTGAAGCTTTTGTTAAAATATGGTTTTATTTTTTACAATATTTTGAAAATTTGATTAATTTTCTTTTCAATCATAACAATATTATTTATTCACATAAATTATCATTATTGATTAATTGAAACTACTTCATAACTATAATATGATAATATTATTGCATGATATTAACTCGTAAAAAAGAAAACCCTGACTAATAACTGATAACTAAATAACCATAATAGGTAATATTCACATTTGCAACAACTTCAAAAAATTATAGAAAATAAAAGACCATACTTTAACAAAAGTTTCAACCAATAAAATTTTTTTAAAAATCTATTTTACAAAATGGCCATTTTTAATTTTTTAAAAAAAAAATATAGTAAAATTTAATTTTTTTTATTTTAAGTTACCCCTCCCCCCCAAAAAAATAATAATATAAACTGTGAGGCAAATTAAATTAATTATTTAAAAAAATGTATATTCAAATTATTGAATAGAACAAAAGTTATTCTTCGTCGAATCTTCGTGGAACACCTTCATATAATAAATCAAAATTGTCCGTATTTTTCGGCTCAAGTTTTTGAACAATTTTGCCGAATTAAACAATTTTTATCCACACGATAAAACCAGCAAATTTGAAATTTTCAAAGATCTAGTTCAAAATAACTTCATAAATGCCAGAATTGGTCGAAAATTGTACCGCGTCTAGAAAATCCTAATGCTAATTGTCATTTGACAAAAACTGCATGTGTTTTATGACTATTTTTATCTTAATTATGACAATTAAAACAAAATCAAAAATAATTACAGAAATCGTTATTGTGTAAATATTCCCGGGATTTCCAGTTTTAAAATGTTTGAAAAGTTTTTGAACTTCATGGGAAATCAAAAATTGACCTTTTCAATGCACCAACTAGACAAAATTTGTTACCAGAGAGGTCGCATAAGTGGTTTCTTGAAGTTTATGATGAAAAGATAAAGATATTTAACTGTATATACGCCTGTCTACGATCCAAATATGTTCTATCTTTTGACTATGATACATTTTAATTGAATATCGTAATTCATTTGTATTATATTTTTCTCACGCAACAAGATTATATACAGAAAATAATTATTTTTTATAAAAAAAGTTGAATTATTATTATCATTTACAAAACCAATAACGATACGAAAAATATAAAAATTAGATCGTTGACTATTATATACCTAAAGATAAATGTATATACTTGACATTCGACATAGGTATATATTTAATACATAGATCGAACCATTCATATTTACTCATGCATATATATTATGTATATATATATATTAAATATATAATGTGTAGACAGGTATTTATAATAAACAGCGGTAGTAGTAAAATTAAAATACTTTAGGAAGCGGAAAAATTCAAGACTTAAGGTACAGATGTCAATGGTATTTGGTGACACAAATGGGAATTCAAGGTATTTCACCGTACGAAAAAATCACGTATTCGCATAAGAACAATTGGGCAGAAGTGTTGGACGAAAGATTATGCGTCCCGTTTCATAGTAAATAATCAACAGTACTTACCCATAAAAACCAAAATCTGAATTTATTGATTTTTTTTTTTTGTTGTTATTTTATTTCATAGTAACGGGAAGTCCAATTTTAGTTGATGATTTAACGAACAATCAACAGTCGTTTTGTAGTAATACATCGCTATGGACGGAAGAGCTATCCGAATTTTGTAACGAAAGTAAGCAGATTTGTTTAATTTACCCATGAATTCCTTTACACATATTTTAATAATAATAATAATAATATCGGATTCAAGAATGTTATTAGCAATTAGTTGGTTATTAAGGTGGTTAATCGCCTTTTTGCGATTTGCGGTTTTGCATGAATTTAATAATCGTATAAAATGGCAATAAAATAATGTTGATAATATTATTTATTTTATAAAACATAAATTACAAAACTGAAATTGAAAAAACTGTTACAAATAATATATTATTACATACCGTTTGTAGGGTTTTATTATTTTAACATTACAACTAGATACACTTACTCAAAGAACTTTCTAACATTTTTGTGCAAGTAATGACATGCATTTTCACATATTTCAACGTTAAATTACCAAATCAATAGGATACACTATCATATAAGGGCGGTGGGTGCGTTTACAAAAGAATATTTCAAGTGGAGGAGGAGGGTTAAGGTTGTACACTTTCATACTCTTATAACAAAGAGGTTTACATACTTTAAATTATAGGACATTTTATTTTTCATTGAAAATGTCAATATTTTAGAATATTCACTTTTAGCCTTTTGGTTACCTGTTAATAAATTTTAAATTCAATATTTTTTAAGTGAATACAACCTAAATGATAACGTAATTCATATTATTGTGATGATAATGCGGACTATGCAATGTCGGCGTACCAGTTATAATTTTCTAAAAGCAGGAAAACCACAAAAAATTATAAATGATAATAATAACAATATATATATATATATCTAGCAATAAAATTAAAATAAAACCAAAATTGTATTTATCTTCCTCGTTGACAGAAACCACAATTGAGACTCTATTTAAAATCTACTTTCATCATAATTTTCATGAAATTTCAAGGGGAATTTGAACCAATAATAACTCCAGTTGTACGTGTGCCCGAGGGGCAGCAAATTTTTTCAACATGATTGTCAAAAAGTGCGTTCAGTTATCAAACAGCTACAGTAAACTGTAACCGCACCAGGACAGCTTGTTCGCTGAACTACTGTAAACAGGTTGTTCAAAACTACATTGCCAAAACACCCCTATTGTGTGTACGCATTTTCGAAAAAATACTATTGGAGAGATTTTAGGTGATATATAGATACAAAACATAATAATATGTAATGCAATTCACCAATATTCTATCAAGGGGTGTTTATTTATTTATATGGAGAAAACTCCATTTACACATTACGAATTTACAATGAAATTAGCAATTTAACATATAACAATAATTTATCTGAAAATGATATAGTATACAAAAAATGGCTTGAACATAAAGTTTAAGTATAATTTTTAACATTAACCAAACTATATAATACAAATCTTACATGATTCAATAATATATACAATAGTATATTTATAAATAAGTTCTTAAGCTATGTATTGAAAGTGGTTTTAACATCTCCTGGTTTACAGAAAAATAAATCTAAATTAGTGGAATTTCCCAGAGTCATTAATGTATTAAACGGCGATAATAATAAATATTTAGTTTTAACACGATAGAATAAAAACATTTCTTTATCTTTCGTGTTATTATTATAAATTCTAAAATTAATTTTGTTTACGATTTGAGGACAGTCTACATTATTATTTATTAATTAAAATAGAAACATGCAATTCATATAGTTTCTGCGATTAAATAAAGTAGACACATTAAAGAAACTTAAAACGCCATCATATCTTAATGTTTTGAATTAATTCTAATGTTAGAGATGTATTATTATTATTAACTGGTGACCAAATGAGAGTAGCGTATTCAAGTTGGGATCGTATAAGTGAGAAATATATATTTTTTTAAAGCATGTTGATTATTTAATTCTGAGCAATTTCGTTTTAAAAAATCCTAATTTTGATAATGCAGAGTTTCTTAATTCAATGTGAAAATTACAGTTTAGTTTACTGTAAAAAAAAAAAAATACCTTAATCGTTTATGATAATTTTGTATCCTAATGTAATCGTGTGGAATGAAATAATCTATAATTAAAATTCATAATTATACTTTTATAAGTAAAAGAAATGACTACACATTTATCAATATTAAGTTCCATTATGTAATTAATGCACCGTTCTTGAAAGCTATATAAATCTCACTGTAAATGTAACTCATCAATTTCAAAAGTAACTGTTTTAAAAATGTGTGTATCATCAGCAAATAATAATATGTTATAATATTTAAATATAGAAGTTATATATTTTATAAAGAGTATAAACAAAATAGGTGATAAATGGTCACTTTGTGATACTCCTGATTTAGCGTTAATTAAATGAGAGATATATTTGCCGTGTTTTACTATTTGTATTCTATTCTCGAGAAAAGAAGATAGCCATGACTAGAGAGGATTATAGATCCTATAATTTTCTAATTTCCGAATGAGTATATTATGATCCACGCGGTCGAACGATTTTTTAAAGTTGATGTATAAGACATCAATTTGTGAATTTAAAGCAAATGAATTGTAAAAATTTTGTTTAAAATTAGCTAAATTGGTTATTGTTGAACGTATTATTATTATTATTATAATATTGCAGAGTACAGCCCGTAGGTAAAATGAAAATAGGGAAGTGGGGCCATCGTAAGACTTAGCCCTCCCCGAGCCGTGCCAAACTTATTTCTCAAACTCAAAACCTTCGAAGTAATTTTGTTTTTAACATTAAGTCTAAAACCTATTAGGCTCAATCCCCCTATGTAATTTCGGACTGTGACTACTTAGGTACGCTAATGTGATTGTATAATTATTATTATTATTCGATATTGTGCCGCCGTATAATATAATAATGTTATATTTTCGATTAACGGGCGGAAAAAATGTTGCAGGTAACAAACATTAACAACAATTACGGTTAGTCGAAATTCGTCTTCAGTCTTCGAGTGAAGAGTCGGACGCTTATAATAATAGAACGCCGGACTGAACGACGTAACGGCTCTACACGATGGAACCACCACCGCGGTCATATTACTATTATTATTCTATATTATATTATACATTATACTTATGTTAGGACACGTTTTGATTTTTTTTTTTCTGTTTCACAAGTGAGGTTTTATTTTTTATTTACAAATAATTTAATAAGGAACGAACGAAAATGTGTGCATATATGTATATAATATAATTTAAGGTATTTTTGCGCAGTCTAGAAAGAAAAATATTGTACTTGGAGAGAATGTCCGGTGGTGCTCGAGGGTACGACATTAGGGGTTATATCTCCCTCTTCTCAGATTGGCTTAAAAATATAATAATGTAAAAGATCAGATTTTGGATGTCAGATCTCCATAGTCTGTGTATTTTAATAACTAAATTATAATGAAAAAAAAAGCTTGATTTATTGAATACAAATTAGCTTTTTCAGATCTGGATTTTAAATTTCTCACTGTCGATTTCAGACAAATATTTTACGACTTCTTCATGAGTCATTACGATTTATATTTACTATATATATATACATTCCCTCTTATTGAAAATTACCGGACACGCCACTCACTGATTATATTGGTATATTTGTACGAATATTTGTTCGTATGAAATGTTATACCTAATATTATATTATATAGTACCTATACATATTGTGTTGTACAAGAATTTACGATATCCAGTCAACGGTGTGTGGTGCCCACTCAACGATTAATCAAACGATCGCCCTTTGGACAAACCTCTATCTCTTTATTTTTCTCTGTGCACGCGTTAAGCGATTTCACACGGGCCAAGTTTTCTGAATAAGACGCACGAATTCACCTGTAAAAGTAAATTATAAACAGGATACACACCGAATCCGAAGATAATCGTACAAAAATGCGGGTATGAGGTACCTACCTATGTACATAATACGTATAGGTATATATATATAGACTACCCGATGTGACATTGTAGGTAGTATAATAATAGTGGCATCGGGTACTGAGGTACCCGATATATACCTACATATTCATATTGTTACAATACTCGCAAATACAAAACCACCGAAATCGCATTGCCTATTTTAAACGCTTTATTGCGGTCGTATATTGCATTTTTTTTTTTTTTTTGATATCGGTAAAAAAAAAAAAAATAATAATAATAAATCACTAATGCTAGTCGGCGGGATACATATATATGTTATTATACATATTATGAGTACAAAATACACATACCTGTACGGCAATATATTTATTTTTAATAACTAATAAATTGATAAATATTTGAATACCATAAATTATTACGTATGCTAAATACCCCTTAATATGTTCAATAATTCAAATTCGTGAAAAATAATCATATTTGATCGGGTAGGTACAGTTTGCGGCCGTGATAGACTTGTAGGATTTGACATAAAATGTAAAATTATAAATTATTATTAATATATTATTGTGTTCTTGCTTAAACATATAAGAGCTATATAATTTTTCAATTTCATTGAGCCTTATTATGTGCCATAAACCATCTTGATAAAAAAATATCAGTAAAAGATTAACGTTATTTACAACAAATCGAATCTGATTTTATATTTACAAATATATATATATATTCGAAATTGAGTAGTATTTTCATAAAAACGTGTTAATAACCGTATTTTATTATATACTATTATATACCCACTATACTTTATATGCACGGTCTAGTTTCACTTCTAAGTATTTTAAGTATTTTTTTTCCATGCGATCCAATTTAACCCTTTGTCAGTAAATATTCAATTTTCTCTGTGCCTCACGATTTCTAAGATTATGATACGCTCTCACTTGTGTCTTGCAGGGATTTGATTTTCGTAACGGTTTCGTTTGTAATATTCGACTAATGTTACACTAATGATTCCTTAATTTCCTCTATTTCTTCGAAATTATCCGCTTGTGCGGCTACCGCAAAGTTATCAGAGTACAACAAATTCTTCGTTGTAAGACTCTTCGGCTGATCATTTGTGTGGATATTAAAAAGTAGCGATGCCAAATCATTCCTTTGAGATAAGTCGTTTTTGTTTTTTACACTTGCCATTTTTACCCTGCAACATGACATATAAAACATACGACCGTAAAGTCCTTCAGATACGCTCCAATTATTTTTGTAAACATATAGTCTTTCGTAAGTTCATAGATCTTTTTCCTTAGCAATCGATGATTGACAGTGTCATACGCTGCACTAACGACCATGTATGCTTTACCTGTGATTAGCTTTTTTCTCGTATCCATAAATACCAGTGACCGACACGCAAAGAAAAAAACCCACTACTATACTCACTAGATTCCCATGTTATTATTCGTAAATACGCGTGTTGCAAGTGTTATTTAATTAAAATGTTACACTAACGTATTATTGTAATTTAATTTTAGGACTTGCATATAGCGTTATAATTAGTACTTGCATGTATAATGCCTAAATTAATAAACATACCATTGTTATGAATTCGTATTCTAATGCATTACGATATTCAACATTATAGTAGCTATATTTTAATTTTTCACGCATAAATATTATGTATTGTAATACGGATTGATTTCAATATGTCTTAAATCTAAAGAGGTTAAACATTTCACTGAAAAATATGTTCCTAGTAATAGTCCAAATATTTATATTTGTGTAATTATCTTATATAATACTAATAATATGTAAGTATGCTTACCTACTGTTAGTAAATTGTACTGTACACCAGATAGGTACATAATTAAATTGTATCAATTTTGACTTTATTTTCTTTAGATTTAATTAATATTTAACAAATGTAATCATTTTTTTCTATTGAATATTAAGATTTTTTTTTTTGATTTTTTTTTTCGTAACAACTATTATAGCTCTGCACTATAATTTTTATATTTTGTATTTTATTTTATTACTTTATTGCTAAAAATACAAAATTTAGATTTTTATAATCCAAGATAGCTATTTGAAAGAAAAAATTGTGTGTGCTCAAAAATATCATTTAGATTAAGCCATTAATTCTTTAAAGTTTGCTCATATTCAAATTCAATTCTTACTAATTTTACTAATGACAAATGTTAATATTTTATCAAACTAACAGCTTAAATAAAGGGTAGAAGGCTATCATTCAGAAATCATAAAGACAAATATTGATAAGGATAAATGATAATAGATAAAAGCGTAATTCCTATAAATATATATTTTAATTTTGTAATATTTAAATACTAAATACTTCTTTTTTCATATGAGTTAATATCCGTTTTAGATGTTGATTATCATATTCGCAATGTTGTTCCTGTTCAGTGATGCCTGAAATAAATCATTTGATGTTTTATTATACTAGTCGTGGAGATTATTCAACTAAAATATTCGTTTTCTTCCCACACTTCTGTTTCCTTCGATCTTTCCTTGTAATATAAGTTAAAATATTTTGTATCGTTGGTTATTGCTCATGATGTGTACCGTTTATTCTAGTTTCCGAGCTTAGATTGTTGTTAATAGTTCTTTTTCTTTCTACGTCTAGTATCTTTTGATTAGTAATACGATCTGTCCATACAATGTATAACATTCGCCTATAAAACCACATTTCAAAACACTCAATTTCTCGCATATTAACTCTGTTAATGTCCAAGTTTCGACTCCATATAATAATACGGAAAACACGTAACACCTTAACAGACTGATTTTCATACTAAAAAACAAATAATGACACTTGAATACTTTCGACATTTTTCGAAATGCTTCCCTAGCTCTTTTGATTCTACATTTTATTTCTACTGGCTAATCCTAGCCTTAATTTGTTGTTGTTCCGAGGTAAATAAATACTACTATATTTAATTGTAATGTTGCTTTGTCCGGAGCAAATGAAAGAAATTAATTGAAAATAAATGCCGATTTTTTACACAAATCCTCGTCGGGTAGTATTTTATTTCGTGTGCACTGTGAGTGTTATGTTAACATGTGACTAAGCCGGGTTTCCGAAGACGGTTCTTATCATTTTTCAAACAAGTACCATTCACCGTTAAATTAATATAATAAAAATATTATTAAATTGCACAATATTTCATGGAAAAATCATATTCATTCACACGCATAAAATGTCATATTTCACAAAACTTGAAAAATCGTTTAAAAATAATATTTATTTAACCTTATTACCTAAAAGTTATAAACACCCGAATTTTTCTAAAAATTAAATTTTTATTTTTATTTAAAATTTCTAAAAATTAAAATTTAACTAGAATATATTTAAATTATAGCGTCAAGAAATAATAATAATTAAAAAAAAAAAAATTAAAAATATTCAATACAAAAAAAAATTATTATATTTGTTAAATAGTCCTGTGAAATTCTGTATAAAATATGCGAGGTTGTTTAATTCAAATTTCCAAACTGATCTAAATAATATTAGATAACGGAATTCAGTTATTATCATTGGATTACAAAAGTAAAAATTTGTCGCTGTTCATATTAATATTAATATTATTTTTTAGTTAGAAATAAAATATTTACATATTTTTGTACAAGAGTATCTAAATGAAAAACTAAAACTGAACTTATTGATTCGTCCATACAGTGTAATATGTTTTTAAGACTGCTTATGTGTCCGTCTATGGATTGCTTGAATTGGAAAAACGTAAAAAGAGAATGCAAAAGTGAATACAAAAAAATTGCGTTCTAGCAAGATGCAACTAATATAAAATAATAATTAGAAAATTTTTCCGTCCCCTGTCCAATTCAAGCACAAGGATTTATAGTTTTTAAAAAAAAAAAATTATCTATATATAATTATAAAGATACTGAATCTCTTACTGTAACAACATTTCTATTTTTATCAAACTTGATTTTAGTTGTTATCCTAATTTGTGATACGCCAACGTCAACCGTAATTATATGATTGATTTAATGTTAAGTATAGCTTCATATTTATTAGGTTTGTTTTTAATTGTAACTATATTATAATATTATATATCAATCGAAAATAATTTTTTATATTATTATATCCGTTGTATTTACAATAATCCATTCGGAAAATTGTAAAACTGGAAAATCTCGTGTCGGTAGGGAGCGGGTGGTGGGGGTCTTTGGAACTTGCTGATTTACATTTTGTAAAATTTGCGTTCGAAATTTCCCCTACAAGCAAAAATATGTAAACATTATGTACCTAAACCTATATATATATATATATACAAATTGCATTAGATATAACATTAATAATTATACAAATTATATTATATTTTTATGTATTTTTTTTTCTTTATTTCACTTTAGATATTATGTACATACAAAAATATATACCTACCTAATATACATATTATTACTATTTGTTCTCCACACTTAGTGTCGGCTCGCAATATAAAAGACCTCGGCTTTTCCTCCAGTGCCTTAATTTGTCTTTTTAATCACGTGGACAAGGACTATATTTGGTATATTAAAAATGTGTTTATCACTTTAGGTAATTTACTATATGTATACAGAGGTCCGCCCTTAGAATGTCCGGGACCCAGGACTCTTATTTACCTCGTTTTGCGAGGGAACTGCCGCTTATAATATAATCACATTTTATATATATATAGTTATTGTTATAAAAATGTTATAATAAGATAGGAGCCTCTGCTTTGTTCGCAGTCCTGATAACATCAAACGCTTTTTTTTTTTTCATAATTTTGTCATACCTAATTTTCTTCTTTTTATATTTCGGTCTAAATGGAATAAGTGTAGGTATTTTCAAAGTTTAATTTACTTGCATTGAATACTATATAAAATTGACTTAAGCTATATTTCCCTGATACCAATGATACATTTTTTAGACGAAAAAGAAAAAACGATGCGAGTATAATATATATAAAAGAGCTGAATCCCCAACTGGGGATGGGAGCGGCCACTGCTGTAGGTGAGAAGTTGGGAAGGTAGGATACATAAGGTTATTTAATTTATATTTGTAAGCAACGGTAAACCATTGCTTGACGAAAAACGATTCCGAGCGTAGTTCGATAATACATAATTTAAAGGGTCGTAATATTTTTGCGATTTTCGTTTAAATTTGATTTCAAAACGCTTATTAAATAAAAAAAGTCCGATGATTTTGAAAACTTTACCACGTTCAGGTAAGTTTAATATAAGTATTATTACCAAGTTTTAAGTATGTACGTGTATTTATAACCGAATTACCGCACAAAAACTCCCAAAAATTAAAATTCCTTAAATACTCAAAACTTTTGGCGATGATACCGTAAGAAAATAAACCGAAAAGACAAAAAAAAAAGTATCTTGTAATTTTTCACGTAAACGATTTTTTCTGGTAGAAAACGTCGTCCGTGTTTTTATAAAATAAATAGTGAAATTGTACGTTTTCCTACGTTTTTTCACACTTAAGCGCTTTTATTTAAAAAATGGCATCAAAAATCAAAAAATAACCTGTTTAAAGTACAATATAGATAACTTGAGCTTTCAAAAAAGTTAGTACACATATAAATCGGAGCAAGTTTACTGGAACAAAACGTGTCCACAGACTAGAACAAAGAAGAAGAAAAAAAAAATAAACGGTATTGTAAAACCAATAGCTCCCTGTCTATGCTCGGAATCTAATATGGGTAAACGTAACAATATACGATAACGTATTAACGTATCAACGTACTAAATTACTATAGTATACTATGTACCTATATATAGCGTATATTATATAATTAGAGATTCTGAGAACCTATATAGCAAAGAAGCTTTTAGTTTTATCATGTACTTTTTTTTCTCGCGGAAATCGCTCTTTTAATTAGTAAAAATGTTCAAATGGTTCACATCGCACATTAAAACATGTGTATTTTTCAAATTTGTAATACTTTATTGGGAAAACAAATTTCTTGTTTTCTTTTTTTCCGCACTGAACTTTTTCAGAAAAGGTTCTACACTTGATACTTCGGAGCAAGATTTTTTGTAAAATGTTTGTACACGATATAAAAAATTAAATACACGACATTTTAAAACCAACACATTCCTCGTTCCGCTCAGAATTTAAAATAATAATGATAAATAAGAATTTCGTTATCTACACTATTTTAGAAAATATCACAATGGGGATATCTTCATGGGGCACTCTGTATAAATACATGTATCTCTTATATATATATAAGCGAGTTAATTCAATAATAATACAAGATCGTAAGATTTGAAACCGCAACCATAATGCATGCGTACGAAATTGTACATGAAATGTTAAAGAAAAGAATTATAAAAACGTCGTCGACGATAATAACGCCGTGAAAAACGATCGAGCGGCAGCGGCGGCGGTGTCAAAGAAAGTAACGAAAAAAAAAAAAAGGGGCTTTGGACACGTACGCATAAGTGCGTATTTATTACTGTGTATAGGCATTATAGTGAAAATAATAATACTGTAAAGGATAATAAAATTTTATATCATATACCTGTGTGTATATATATATACACAGACGATCCGATTTAATGGCGGCGAATCAAAGCGAATCGAAAGAGAAAAAAAAAGTGGCGACATCGAAATATCGTCGGTGGTGGCGATGGCGCTTACCGATCGTTTTCTCCCCGAATAATATAACCGATTAAAAAGACAAAAAAAAAAACCCATAATTTTCACGATGAACCCGCCTTTTCCTGATGCTGCGCACCGGTTTCTTGACAATTACTATTATACCCCGTGTTATTATATTATTGTTTTTTTTTTTTTTTTTTTT